TGGGGGGGGGGGCACACGTGCAGAGGGGACTCTCACTCCTGGTGCCCTGGGAGCTGCTGAGTGGTGGGCAATGCCCAAGCCCTGTCCTGAGCCCAGACCAGAGCCGAGGACGAGGCACAGCCTGCCAGGCCCGCTGGACACGCTGCACGGGCTGAGAGCAGTAATCCAGGATCTGGGGCTGGAAGGGGCTGCGGTCCTTTAACAGATAGAGAAACTGAGGCCCTGCGGGTGGAGAAAAGGCCAGGACTAAAGGCTAAGAGGCAGAGGGCGGAGCAAACTGTGGCCCGAATCCCGCCCCCCGCCCCCTTTCTGTTCAGCCTGTGAGCTCAGAACGGTTTCAACTTTTTAAGTGGCCAAAAAAAAACCATCCAGAGAATACTATTTTGTGAGACGTGAAAATCATATGGTTCGTGGCCGCTTCTCCCCTGAGAAGCTTCAGAAGCTTCAGGCCCTGGGGGTGGAAAGGAGGCGCAGGCCACCACAAGTGACAGAGCTGCGAGAGCCGTGGGTCATCGTCATTGTCCACATCCCGCAGATGAGACTGTGGCACAGAGAGGCTCCGAGCCTGCCCAGGGTCACACAGCTCGTGAGGGCCGAGCTGGGGCTGAGTCGCAGGAAGGACAGGAGTGCCTGCGGCCTCTAGAGCCAGTCTCGGAGCTGAAGCTCGGGTGACAGCGTGCATGTCAGACTTGGCGGGTGACAAGCCTCTGGGGGCTGGGACTGAGCTACAGAGACGTTCCCGGTTGTCCTCCTGGGGAGCCGGGCCTCTCACGCACCGTGCCCCAGCCCCCTTAGCACATGCTGTTCCCCCAGCCTGGAATGCTGTTCCCTGTCGCTGGGTCCTCAGGCCCCACTGAGCCACTCCCGAGAAGGAAGACAGCTCTGACCGCCCTGCTGCCTTCAGACCCTGACATACCTGCCCCTGGCCGGCCCCACGCCGTTTACAATTACCGCCACGCAGGCAGTCCTGTCTGTTGTCTAGAACTCCTGCCAGGGAAGTTACATCCCAGCACACACCCCACCCCGGCAGCTGGGGGTTTGGTGAGCATCCTGGATGAATGAATGAGTGAATGAATGAACGATCCTGCCACCCAGCTCTCCTCCAGATGTGACTCAAAGGAGTGGGGTTTGCTTTAAGCAACAGAGGAAGAGACACAGGCTCTGGGGCCTGGGGACCGGGGGAGGGGTGGGGTGGGGTGGGCCAGATGGAGCAGAACAGAAGTACTTGCAGTCACGTATCTGACCAGAGTCTGAGGTCTGGCATATATAAAGAGCGCTTACAACCCAACAACAAAGACAACACAACTCGAAGGCGGGCAGAGAACCCGAACAGGCATTTCTCCAAGGGGACATCCGGTCGGTCAAGAAGCCCCGGATGGATCATCAGTCATTAGCAACACGCAAGTCAGAGCCGCCGGGAGCACCACAAAACGATGGAGGAGAACCCGGAAAGTACAAACGTGCTGAGAACGTGAACAAGGGGAGCCCTCCCTCGTCGCTGGTGGGGTCGTGAAACGGTGCAGGGGCTGTGGAAACCAGTTTGGCATTCCCCGAAAAGCTGAACACAGAATGCTTTAGAATTCCCCATGACCCCAGAACGACCGTCTGGCCCAGCAACAGAACAGGTAAGGCTCTGAAGGGTTTCCGTCTGGGGGGACAGAGAGGTTTCGGAACGACTCAGCACCGAGCACCCACTAAACACCACTGAGTTGTGCACCTAACACAGCGGGTTTGGGGATGTTTGACTTGGCCCCACGAGGAAGATGACAAGATCTGTATTAGCTTGTATCTTTTCCCAAGCCGCGTCCTCACAGCAGCCCCAGGTTGCCCTACGGCATCTGGGGTCCCCCCGCCAGGGGCCGACACGTTACGGGTGGCCTTGTCTCGTCTGGCGCTGTCCCCCCCCCCGCCAGGTCGGACGCACCAGGAGAGCAGGACGTCGTTCTCTCCGTGAGCCCGACGCAGCACCCCAGCAGCGCGTGCCCCTCGGGAGACGCTCAGACACGGTTACGGAACAGACCGGATCTGAAATTTGAACCAAGTCAAGGGTTGCTGCCAGTGGCTGTGTTTTATTGGCTCGTAGAAAGACACAGCTGTGTTTCCAGTGTTGTTACGCCATAAACTTGTGTCTTGAGAAAATAAATAGCCCAAGTGGTCCACCCCTGCCAGGGAACAGCATTGAGCCTTAAAAAGGAAGGGCGTTCTGACACCCGCTACAGCGTGGATGGACCTCGAGGATGTGATGCTGATTGAAACAGGCTGGTCACAGAAGGTCAGATCTTGCGGGATTTCACTCGTACGGGGACCTCACGGACTCACATCCATAAAGACAGAAAGCAGACAGTGGGCGTTGGGGCTGGGGGAGGGGGTGGGGGGGTAGTGTTTTAATGGGACGAAGTTTCGTTTCGGAAGACGGAAAGTTCCGGTCGCGGATGGGGGACGGCGGCACAACAGAGTTGAACGTGCTTAATGCCACCCGGAGCTGCGTGCTTAGAAATGGGTAGGGCGGTAAATCTGGGTTATGCGTGTTATACTGTAATTAAAAATGAAAAAATTAAATTAAATACAAACAAGTAAGCAAATAACTATGCTCTGACTCCTCCTCCCCAGCTGGCGGCCCTGGGGGCCAGGGAAGGGACATGCGGTCTCCAGCAGGTGGGGGGCACCCACCAAAGGTTTGGTTTCTTCTTCACCCGAGGCAGACACAGGGACAGACCACGAGGGCCACAGCAAGCCCTCCTTTGCTGGATGAGGCCACGAGGCCCCAGGGGAGCAAGGCAGTCACTCGAGATCACACGGGGTCGCAGGTGGTCGGGCAGGGGGCCAACCGCCTGTCTGTCTGCACTGCTCCCCAGCCCCACGGCAAGAAGCCAGAGCCACCAACCCCCGTCAACGTCTGGGGACCCTGGCCTGAGACCCTCTGGGGGACAGAAGGGTACGCCTAACACCCTCCACGCACTGCCCGGGCCTCGGCGCCCGCCCTGGACCAGAGGTTCTGCCTGGAAGGGCACAGCCGTGCCTGGGCCAGGAGAGGCTGGCCTGGGAGGCCCGCGGGGGGTGTGGGCGCGTGGGCTTCCAGAACTCGCCCTGCGGAGGGTGTACCTGGTGGAGGGAGCGCCGAGGCAAAGGCAGAGGGAGGGGAGGCTCGGCGGTTTGCCTACAGCAGAAAGACTCCACGGACTCCTCTTAGAATCTCCTGTCCCCCAATGCCACCGAGCAGCCCAAGCCTTGGTCCGGCCCCGGGCCTCCCCGGCCCGTGTTTTGCCACAAAGGCGGCTTCGATGACACAGCCCATGGCACTGTTTGTGACTCCGCCCCAGCCGTCCTTCCCAGACGTGCAGGCCGGGGTTCAGAGCCACTCCTCCGGGCCCGCGTGGGCTGGGGACGGTGGGCTGTCCCCTTCCTCCCACGGCCAGGCTCTTACCGGTGGCCCCTTGGTGGCAGAGCCCGGGGTCGGGGGCCCTTCGTCCCTCGGCAGCGGCTGGCCATTGGGCTCCAAGTCCTTCCCTGCAAGAGAGCAGCTGCAGTGAGGACCTGGGCACAGGGAGGAGCCCGAGACCCTGGGCGCGGACCGTCCTTCGAGGACCGTGAGGCCAGGCCCCTGCTTTCAGGGGAGGAACGCGGTGTCCGGGTTTGGAGGCCCATGGTGGGTTCAGGGCGCCCGGAGCGCGCCTGGCCTGCCCCCCCTCCCTGACCTTCTGGGAGCTGGACTCTGGGAGGGAGGTGGCCGGGCACTGTCCCTGCACCCCGACCTGGCGGGTGCCTGTTTTCCTGCTTGCTTGAGGGCGAGGGAGAGAGAGGGGAGGCGTCCGGATTCAGTCCCGGGGAGACAGCTGCCCTGGCCTAGCTCCTTCTGTCCTGAACGGGGCTTCCGAGGCTGCGGTTTATGGGCAGGAGGAAGAGGGGCTGGTC